TTCATTCCCACATTCCCTACTGAGCACCACCAACCAAACGTGGCGGCCCTTGTTTTTGGGGCAAAAGAAAGGATGGTGAATATTTTTAAGGAGAAGCTTCTATAGCTATCATTTCCCTTCATCATATCATCCATCTTTAGGATTCTGACGGTTAATCCTCCATTCTAACTCTTTACTATTCCTCTCCCGTCTCCATACGTCCCATCGGGTAACCTGTGGAGAGATAGGTATGGGAGGAGATAGAGAGATGACTCCCAACCGCTCCTCTGGCTTCTTTTCTCTTCGCCAGGCTGTTGTATCCTGTCTGCATTCCACGGGTAGCAACTTGTTAAACCACTTGCCGCAGGATGCAAGGAAGATGAGAGAGAGATGATTCGTTTTTCCAATATAAATCCAGCTTCTCTTTCCCTTTACAGCACCAAAAGGCAGACCTCGTGCTTCCAGGTTCTGGGTGAGATGCTGCCAACGAACTGCGGAGGCGGGCCGCCCGAATGTGCCTCCAGCAGTTTTCGTCTTTTGGTGTCCAGTGCCTCCCGCAGGTTGCGACGACATCAGCCCCAAGATCCTAGCAGGCCACCACAAAGATGGCCACAGCCATGATGGCGACGGCCACAGCCACGGCGACGCCGGCCATGGCGGCCATGGCGGCGGCCATGTGGGCCACGGGGGTCACGGGGGCCATGAGGGCCATGAGGGCCATGGTGAGGATGGCCACAGCCACGGCCAAAGTGGCCATGGCCATAGTGACCACGGGCACAGTGACCATGGTCACAGCCATGACCAGGGCCATGGCCATGCACATTAGGGCCCAACTGGCAGTTTCTGCCAAGCAACCAAATGTGACTTGGCTGAACGAGCCCGGCCGGATCTTATTGAGCACAATGCTCAGATGGGCCATGATGGGCCATGATGGGCCATGATGGGCCATGATGGGCCATGTCCATGTTTGAGATAGATTGACCAGGCTGCGGAGCAGCCAGGCTGGGTGCGCGGAGCCTGTGCGCTCATGCGCCCGGAAGTGATGTAGGTGTGCGTCAATTCGTTGCATCGCCCGCGGAATCTTGTGGGCTGAGTCGCACTTGGGTCGGGATCCCAGTTTCGGCCGCCTGTTTGAACCCTTGGCTTTCAACCTTGCACGAGCAGCGTGACAAACCAGCGTGAAGTTGTGGACCAGCGGCGAAAAGGGGCTCAGCTTCTTGAGAATTGGCCCACTTGCCTGACCTGATCTTATCCATGACTTATACCTGCTGCGAACCTTTTCCAACTTGATCCACAGGAAACTGCACGCAGACCTCGCGATCGGGCCCCGCGAATTGGCTCCGAGCTGCAAGCCCGACGGACGCCAGGGCGCGACGACCTGAGGTTCTGGCTGCGATGGTCCACGCATGATGCTGTGACTGATTTGTGGACGTCGAATTCAGACCCCCTCAAATAGTTGGACATCGGTTTCTTGAGGCCCCCACGTGCACCGCTAAGGATGGCCATGCTCCAGCCATCTCGGCGCGGCGGGGTGTGGATCCCGAGCTGCGAGGCTTTGCAAGCCCACGCAAATCGGTTTCCTGCTTTGGGCTTGCCTCGGATCTGGCCAACATCTTGGCCACACTGGCCAGTCTGCTTTCCCGGCCAGTTTCCTGAGGCAAGATGGGCGCTGGGCCTGATCGCCTGCACCCCAAGGGCCGGCCGGAGCATACTCGGAGCTCTGGGGCAGTTTGCAGAGACATATTAACGCCACCTGACTGGTGCCACAGCCCGGCTTCACTTCGTAGCTATCAGACAAGTCAAAGCGAGAGCAACGGTGAAAGGAACGGTTAGAATCCTGTGGTTGGCTTCGCTGTGTACATGGCAAGCACTTCAACGGAGATTACCGAATTTTGCTTGGATTGCTAAAGCGCGCTCTTCGCTTTTGCGGCTTCCGTCACTTTGGCATTTTGACCTGAACAGGGTATTGATATATTTCAGATATGGTGCCGACGTGACCCCAACATTGGGTGCTTGTTTGTTGGGCCGGGGACTGCGCCAGAGCAACAGTCTTGGCTTGAGGCCGTGCCTTTGGCCCGTGTGCGTGGTAAATGCATGGCGTGCGTTTGGCTTTCGAAAACCGTGCTTGTTTTGTCTTGCTTTCCGCACTGAGCAACAGCAGGGGTCCCTCAGGAGGGATGTGCCGGTGAAGCAGGGATGTTCTTGTTTGTGAGGGAGGTGCTAGCGGACCGAGCATTTGTGACATTTCGTTTCACGAAGTTGGCAGGAGAGTAAGCAGCAGATGTGCTCGCAATTTGAAAGAAGCGAGACCAGTGCCACAACTGCGTTGGCATTTAGGATTTGTAAGCCCGCTCGTGCCTGAACCCGCTGTGGTCTGCACCCACGCTTGACACGCACACCCACGCGCTCGTCAGCCCTGCACCCACGCTTGCTCATGCGCATCCCAGCCTGATGTTCTAGCAAGCACAGAGAAGGCACTTGGGAGGCTGCATTTTGGCTGAGCAGGAGAGAACAAAGGTATGTGTATTGAAGCACAGATGCGATGTTGGTTCCACTTGCTAGCGCTCAACCTCCCCGCTCCAAATCCCCAACATTTTGAAGGACCGCTTGCTGCAAAGCTATGGCTTTGCTCAGGCGAAACGAGCGGTTTCGGGAAACACCCTAGTATATGGCAAAAGTACGGGCCTTGACTAAAAGAACAACGATGAGAGGGCCACAGTTTTGTTCACATTGAAACGCAACACCGCGCACCGCGGTAAACGACCTGGCGGGTCGGGCAAACATCTTCCTCACTTGCTTCCCGTTACAATTCGGTTGTCCCAAGGCTGCGGCGGCCTTGCTCCTGGGCACGTCCTGCCGGCTGGTCTTCGAGTTGAGAGTAGCAGAACTAGAGACCGTGGTTGAATCCACACATGTGTGGCTTCAGAGTTGGGACGTAAAAATTAAGGACGAATCACTCATTTGCTGCAATGTTCGTACGAGTAACTTCCGATTCGGGCGAGTCGCCAGGCAGGCAGCCTTGAGCTTCACCAGCGGCTACACCCCGCAAGGACAAGCTGCTTTGCATGCAGTTCCCAGGGGATGCGGTGCGTGTCCCTGGAAATGCCTCGACCTGGGCAGTTGCCAGCAGCCTGTGCTGGCGGCCTATCACTAGTGATACACTTTCTGAATGCATTGATAGTCACGTTGATTGTAGTCAGGTGGATACACAAGCACATCTTGCAGGTATCAGAAGATTGGCGATGCAATGTGTCAGATTTCGTCTAAGCCGGGTGTTTGAAGCCTTGTTTTCTATCCGTGTTTTCCTTGCTTGCTCACTATGCTCACCCCCTCCCGCCCCCTCACCATGGTGAGGCTTGAACTTTCCAAACTTGATGTGGTTTTGTATTTGCCCTTGCCTGGGCCCTTTTGTGCAAAGTAGTCTGCCGCCATGCGCTGAGAAAGTCGGGCACTGATCAAAGTCAGAAAATGCGGTCGCCTTTAACCCACCACTTAGGGGGTGACTTTGATCATGGCAATAATAAGGGGCCAGAAGGATCAACATGGGATGCCCATGGCAGGATCCGCGCGTGAGTGCTCGAGCATTGCGCCCGCCTCAACAGCTCTTTGCCTCGCGCCACTTGGAAACCCATGGTTGAAGCCAGAACGTGGTTTGGTCTTTGCAGGGGGGAATCATCCAAAACCAGGGTTTCTTAGGTGGTGCGAAATGGATTTCGTCCACCCACAGTATGATGAGTGGATTGGGTGAAGATACAATTCAATGCCATCAATTTCTAGAAAGAACCAGATAATGGCAAGGCATGATTGCTGGCAAGGCTTAATAAATACAAGCTGGAAGCAATCACGTGCGCTGAAATGCGAGGGACATGGGAAATGGGAAGCTTCGTGGCATTCAGCGCGAAGCTATCTCCTGAGCAAACCCTGACACTTTCAATGATTTGGTTGTGCCTTAAGATCTGCCAAATTACTTCCTTTGCTGCACATCCACTTTGTACCGTGCACTGGCCACCTTCCGTTGAATTTGAACCGCACATTTCCAGGGCCCGTAATGTTACGAGCCCCGAGACGGGTTGCCCGGGTTTCGAGCCTGTGACCGGCCGTGAGGCTCTGGGTGCCAAGAAGCGACTCACATGGACTGTGAAGCAGCGGCAGCCAGGGGCGCCAGTCCGGGCATCGAGTTCGGGATGGTTGACCCCTCTTTCAGGTGTTCTTTTCAAGAGTTCTTATTTGCTTCTTCTTATACGTTCCTGCCGCTTCTCTTTCTACAGTCGGCTGTTGTTGCAGGTGGGAACATGTTCTCCATACCGGTTTGTCCTGCTTGCGAGTGCGGGTGCCAATGCCTTGACGCTCCCGTGCGGCAGTGCAAGAACTTGGGGCGGAGATGTAGTGCAAGACTCCGTCTCACAAAGCCTCACCGCGCAAAATTGTTACCACCCGGTGCTTGCTCGAGTGAAGCTGTGCATCACAGTGCATTTTTGTCATGACTTTCCTCACCGCTGACTCGGTCTTTCGACCTGTCAGTCGTGACCACGTCGCACGTGCGCGCCCGCGATCGGTGAGAACTGAGCGTGCGTGCGTGCGTGCGTGCGTGCGTGCGTGCGTGCGTGCGTGCGTGCGTGCGTGCGTACGTGTGTTTGTGTGTGTGTGTGTGTGTGTGTGTGTGTGTGTGTGTGTGTGTGTGTGTGTGTGTGTGTGTGTGTGGGTGTGTGGGTGTGTGGGTGTGTGCGTGTGTGCGTGTGTGCGTGTTTGCGTGTTTGCGTGTTTGCGTGTTGCCGCTTTGGCCTCAGGAATGCTGAATACAAGGCACGCCATCCGCCGCCAGCTATGACAAACAAGGAGTTGTGGGGCCGATATCTCATACAAGATCATCCCGTTACATGAGGGATGGGTTCCTGCCACTTCGTTGCTCCAAGTGCAGTTTCATGGGTATTGATGAGCAAGAGAGCTAACTCGGCATGATTTCTGATTTGTAGACGGCCTGGTCAATTGGTCAGGAGCGCAAGCGCCGACTCCTGAAGATTGATCTCTTCCGGCGCGAGGCAGCGGCTCAAAAACTAGTTTTGTCGCGAGGGGTGCGGAATCCGCTCAGCGTCAGGACCTGATGCTGACTGAGAAGTACCTGTACAATGTGACCTTGGCGAATTTGGGGTGGGCTCATGGCCGGAAATCCACACACGCGGCGGAAGGAGGTCGATAAATGACCCGTATGGAGTGAGCTTTGCAACACCCGGAGGCCCTGTGCTCAGGCTGTCAGGCTGCTGTTCCCCGCCCTTCTGGCAACCCTGTATTGAAGCATAATTGCTGTGAAGCGCATGCCGAAAGGGCCATTCTGCCAGGATCCGCGGGACGCAAGGTGGCAGTGGGATATTGACAAGACTCGTCAATACATGGACGAGCAGGCTGGATACGGGTCAGAATTCATGGGCACAGATTCATTACATCATATGTGATGTTAGCCTCGATTCTCGGTGTGCTCAATATGGCCAATTGCATCTCACCAGGGTTATACTGACCACCGTGGCCTGCGAGGCCACACTGGTAGATGATATCAAGAGGAAGAAGCTTACAAGCCGTGAAGACTTGAGTGCTGCGCTCAGCTTCTGAGAGTTCACCGCATTCCTTCCACTCCTTCCGTTTCCTCCCAGCTCGCGTGCGTCGCGTCGCTGGCGCGCGCGCGCGCGCGTTGGCTCGGCAGATCTGCCGCTGCCGCCCACGGATTTGAAGCTGACGGCGCTGGCGAAGATCTCCCGCAGCAGCGCCGCGCAGGCCTCCAAGCCGGGCGCCTCAGCGGGTTTCATCGGTCCAGCAGAAGGATGGAGAAGGGGAGAAGGGGGGAGAGAGGAGAGAGGGGGGAGGGGGGAGCCAGGGGGAGGGGGCTTTAAGACCCAGAAAATCAGGCGCAAGCGCCTTGACAAAGTTGGCGCGGGCTCCTGATAGTGAGGTGGCTTGGGGGTCCTGTACCCAGTTCTGAAGGGAGGGAGCTCAGTATGCGTGTGCCAGGGAACAGGCAAAGAAGAAGGAGAGTGAGGAGAAGAAGCCGAAGGTTGTGAAGGGCCAGAAGTTCGAGCCAGGGGCTCATGCGAATCTTTGTGCATGGCACTTGCAACCTTTGGAAAAGCGACCCGACAAAAAAGAGAAAACACGAATCAAACTGAGGGACCCGGATTTGACCGACGTGGACATTGACTTCATGAACTACAAGGCTGGACAGGGATTCGGTGCCGCTGGTGTCGCCCTGTTGGAGCAAAGGCCCATCAGCCTCTTTCGAGACAACTCCAGCCTCCTTCGAGATAACTCCAGGTCTAATGTTGCTCAGGGTTCATTGGTGCCAAGGGTTGGGCCAGATCAGCCATAGCAAGAGGCAGATGTGTCCGCGCATAATGAGCTCTTGCAGTCCCGCACGCGCTGCAGGGGTTGGTGATGTCAAGACGACAGAAGGCTCAATACGCTCTACGCGCTCAGAGGCGAAAGAAGCAGGAGAGAAGGTGGGGCTACCTGGGTTGGTTTTGGATGCTGGTCTTTGTGCACGTTTTTCATCCGGTGGGTCGCTCCGGGAAGACAACCCTAATGAGGAACACACGCACAACGGTGCCAGGCGGTGAGTGGCGGTGAGCTGCAACGCCGGGGAAGCGCCGAGGCATTGGCGATGTCTTCACAGATGGAAGCATTTGCGGCTCGTTTTCTTCGCAGCCGGCGCTTGCTGAACTTCTGGCGTCCCGCTTTCGCGTTTCACTCCAGTGGCTGTGCGAGCCAATTTTACACGCTTCCAGCGGAGAGGCCAAAACGGAGAGCGATGCACTTTAGCTGCTTCATGACACAAAGCTTGCAACGAGGGGTCGCACAGCTCTCAGGCTGTTGCATCAATCATAAGCACGGGATATATTGGCCGCATTGCACAGGGCTTCAATACCCCTCTCATGGACTCGTGTAGGTGACACAAGTCCTCCATAGCTTGCCTGTGCCGCTGGACTGCCTGAGCAGCAATCCATGCTCAAAATGGCCACAAGCTTCAGGGAAGAACGCCTGCATACCGGCGGCAACAGCTGAAAGAGTACAGCCAGCCGAAGTCTTGCGCGGTCAGAACACTCCACCCCGAGGCACAACTTGAAGTTGAGGCAGGGCTATCGCACTGTCAGGGACAGCACCGTGAAGGGAAGGCAACGCCCATCGTCCCAAACTCGCGCGTGCTGGTGCCATGCATCGACACATGTCGTGATGAGTCGCGTATGCGATGAACAATTCCACAGAGGCCTTGGTGCAACTCTGGCACATGTGCCGCTCGGCCAGCCTTTCATGGGCGATTCTCCCTGCCCGTTTTTCCCCTCGAACCCCGCACTTTTCTGTAAGAGTCAAGAGTCGAGACTCGAGCGAGGCGTGAAATCGCAGGGCAGCTGTCCAGGGGAAGTCCTTCAGTGGGAAACGCTGCAGAAGGTCATGGGCGGGCTGCCAGCCTGCGAGGCTTTGCCTGGCGTGGAGGAGGCGTCCGAAGGTCCGAAGGTCCGAAGGTCCGAAGGTCCAAAG